AACTGCACAATGAACAGCATTGAAACGCACGATCCTCGTTTTTGGTGGGAAGCTGGTCTAACTTGTCTAATCATTAGTGCAGATTTTTGCACGAGGTCCTGCCCTTATGGTCCTCCTACACTGCCACTGTGAAACTGTTAACACTAACAATCCCCATGGATACATCTGATAAACCCTTTCAATACAGACCTTATTTGAAAGCTTGCAAGATTCTCAGGCTCAGTTATAATGTGGATTATTGCACATAGTTCTGAAAGGCACAGGGGAAAGACAAGAGTATCCAACTGCTAGTTTCTATTGTTTGCACAAATTTTTAAGATGAACAACACAAGGAGGCTATATTGACATAATAGTAAAAAAGAACTGCATTATCAGCATCACCTTCTTTTCACCCTGTAACACGACTTGCTTCTCAAACTGCATTATGACTAGAGCACCGGAAAACTACTCGATCTCTCCAAAGTAGAACAGGAGGTAAATAATGCAGGATGGAAGAAATATTTATTTGTTATGACAACTGGCATCTACATAATAGGGTTCACAGCTAACATTGCTGTCTGAAGCAGAGCAGCAATCACCTGGTTAAAGACAAATGAAAAAGCACAACAGCGATGCCACTGATGGCATCAAAAATAATGTTTCTTGCACACACTTGACAAAAAAGCAATGCTCATACTCAGAAGGTAGGAAATGATAGAATGTTCTCTCTGAAATCCTGCTGCAGGCACTTACGTCACTGAAGCTTTTATCATATTGTAATGCTTGTCCTTAATGCAAAACACTTATCAGACTATTGCTGAGTTTGCAGCAAGAACTTCCCTAAGCACAGGAAACCAGAGTCAGAATGCAAGTGTGTGTTTTTCTGTGTTTGTGCATTTCTAGCAGGGTTCTCTGAATGGTTTGGGATCCACTTACATGAAGATAAAAGAAAAGCGTTGAGAAAGTTGAAAAAATGAAGCAAGGCAGAATCATGGCAAGAACTTCTTGACTCAGAACTATTATTGGCAAAGCTGAAAGCAATTGAAAACTACATTCACCTTTCAGCTGGTCAGTTTTAAGCAGCATCTTGATAACTCAGCTTCCTAGTTCTAGGTACCATACATTAACAATCAGTGTTCACAAATCTGCCATGACAAACATTCTGTTCACATCAAGAGAAAGGAGTTTCCATTGATTTTGAGTCAAGAGAACATCTGCTAGTAGAGATTTCTGGTTAGAAGAATGTTATGATTGAACTCAGTGTTCGGGGAGAGGCAGGTAGAAAGCATTTGACCACTGGCTCTAGAAATGCAAGATGCCTGCTCTTTGCTCCTCAGAGCATGACAGCAAGCTCTATGCATTGGCCTGGCTTTGGACACTGTGAATGATACCTGTAACTCAGAAAAAGATTTCAGCACTACAGGGTACCTGAATCTGATTAAAGGACTTTGTTCAACTACCTTGTCTTACATTATTATACATTCTCAGACAGTGAAGAGACCAACCCAGCAGAAGTCTACAGCAAACACATAAGAAGATTGAGAAGAAAGCATTGTTGCAATGCCTGTTGCTTAAATGAATCACCGTGTTGCAATAAAAATGTGAATTACACACAGCTATTAGTAAAGGAGAAAATGTGAGACAGGCTTCTAATACTAGTAAACCAGTGTTATAAATATTCTTTCCAGCAAACAAAGCAAAATAAAGACCAAAGCCTAGTGTCTGCTAAAGAACAGCTGAGACTGGGCACACCATGAAGTATCTCTCCATGTTCCACTTCAGATCTCTGCAAGTTCATTTCATCATTTATTATGAATAACTATAGAAATGTTGATGCTTTGAGCAGAAAACATGGGCAACCAAACTACACAGATTAAAGAAAAAAGAAAAAAAAAAAAATCAGACCAGAAGAACCCCTATTACAGTCAACCTTTTGAAATTCTGCTAAAATTCTGTTCTATCCAGTGCTGAGATTGCAAATTATCATTGTCATGTCCTTAGTATTCAGAACAAAGGTGATATTTCAATTACAGAGACAAATGTACAGAGTTCATTGTCCAGTGGAAAAAATCCCCTAATGGAGCACACTAACCAAAACCATGGACATCATACAAATTATTTTCCCTTTTACAAAGAGGGAGGGAAAAGGCACTTATAGTGGACTGAAATTGCTTGAATTAGTTCACTGTGTCACAACCATAAATTAAAATTTAGAAATCAAAGTATTTTGCAGTTCAAAAACTCAAAATATGTACAAAGGTAGTAAACAATATTATAAAATAAACAGTGCTTAATATTAGTTTGCTTTTCAAAGTGAGATGCTAACAGTGCATTTAGGTCCTTTCTAAGTAAAGTTAGGAAAATGATTTTACACCAGGAATTGAATACAGCAGGATTTTTAGAAGAGATATCTTTGTGTCTCAATTTAAAAAATTCAAATGACATCTTTTCACTTTACCAGGAAACGACTAAGAAAATAAATGTTACTGTTTCAACTGAAATTAAAACATTAATTTTATCCACCTGTCAACTTTATCCTCTTTGCTACATCTTCTTTTGGACAATTTCCAGAGCCATTAGTTTAAAGATACTGTCAGCTATTTTAAAATTTAAATGTATCTTAAATGTATTTCCAAACCAAGATGTCGCTTTTTCAGGTACAGATTTCTATCTTGTTTCCTTTAAGGAGAAGGAGGAGGGAAAAAAATGAAATCATTGGAAGAATGACAACCATTAGCATTTTCTTTCATAAATCTGACCCATTATTTATTAAAAGCCAATACAAATCCTGTCATTGACTTCAAATGAGTTACTAGTGGGATCTCTGTTCATCTGTAGGAAATTAATATTGAATTGGTGGGAAAAAAAAACGCTATTTTGCTCTTTACCATTTCAAATATCTCATGAAAAAATAAATATCCTGATAAAAATCCAATGAAACTCCACCAGTTTAATGCAGAGTTCTCATATTTAGCCTGGCTCATGATGCATAGCATCTATTGTTATTCTCTATACAGTGCTTTAATAAAAAGAAATAAAATGTTACTCCTTCAGCTAACAAGTAACCTCTATTAAGCCAAAAATGATCTGCAGGCAACTTCTCACAACTAAACTCATCAAAGCATGAAAGTTCAAAATGGTTTGAGCTGAAAACAACAAGCAAGTGCATCAGCTCTTCCAAAGCTGAAATCAGGAAACTAGGCACTGTTTTGCAATCAGAGTGGATGACCAGTTTCAGGTCCAAATTTTTGTGTTAGGAAATTCACCATTTCCAGTAAATATTTATTTATATGCTGGTATTACTTCTCATAAAAAATGCTTCTGATTCCTTGTTTGATCCAGTTCAATGCCTGAGAAGACATTTAAAACCTGACAGTCTGAATTTAAAGCTACAAAAGTGTTATTTGCTCACACTGTGCTAAGTTTGAAATGCTGAGATTTAAATTACCATAAAATCTAAATAAATGCAGGGTTCAATTCTTTTTATACATATTATTAGCACAGAATTCAGTGAATGATAAGAATAAAATGCACTTTATTTAGATTTCTAAATCTATTGCAAGAGAAGGGAGAGGACACAGTAGGAAATAATAGAAGCAGCTTTTCTTTAATTACTGTTATACTTTGTGATCAGTTCAATTTGAAGAATGAAGCCAAATTGAAATTGAACTTATTTTTCCCAATTTTTCAAAAAAATATTTTATTCCTGTTCACCTGAATTCTGTAGCTGAACTTTAAGGAGGGAGGAGATGGGAAAAATGCACATAGTTCATTGTTAGGGGATTAATTGTACAAAAAATGAACCTTTTGGCAGCACTGGTTAACTATTCTTAGAATGAATCCATCACATATGACCCCACCTTCATAATGCCATGTCTTTATCATTTTAATGGTATTTAAGAACTTAATTACTTAAGAGCTCTTTTAGAATATCCAGTACAGTGGCATCAAGTACAAAGAGCCCCTACAGTTATATATTCCTCATTTGATGCCTGAAAATCTCCAGTCCAGAGACATATGTATGCAACTGGTCAGGTGCTGAAGCTCAGTTTCACTCTAGAAGGCAAATTAATGGATCTGATTATCTTATTTTCTGGGACAGAAAAAAACTGCTTCCAGACAGTCACCAAATTCACAGTGATGGGCACTGGCTACTAAATTACTTGGCTGAATCAATTGCCACAGCCTCTCAGAAAAAAATACTGAAATAGGGATGGAGAACAAACATAATTAGTTGAGCATCAAGATTGAAGAGTGAGTCACTGCCAGCACAGTATTACAGAATATAAATTCTGAGCACCCTATCTCTACTAAAGAAGAAAGACATAAGACTTATTCTTACAGATAGTTGTTAGAAGATTTGGGATTAAATACTAAGCAAACCCGCAGACTACAATGATCATCAAATTAAAGCAGTGCTTTTTGCATGTGACTGCTTGTCAAACACCATATGGAGAAAAGTATAATGTGTATAAAGTATAATGTGTATAAAGTATGAATGAAGGTAAAATGTGTAAGTAAAGTAAAGATATCAGAGGTCTTCAAAACAAAATAATACTTTCTTTACTGGATTGCTTGGTGACCTAAGATTTGCCAAAGTAAATTTGTTCCCAGATTCATGCAGCTGCTACACACACTTGACCAGGAAACACATGGTTAGAAAATTACACTACTAATCTTAGTGAAGATGAATATTTTAAGGCCATCCTGAGTGAAATCAGAACACAAATACTGAAACTCTAAAACTGGCTTCTGTTTAACCATATACAATGTGACAAGCAGTTGCTTATACTAGCACTGCAGAGAAAGCTTTTAAGACCATACATATTTGAGTGTTCACCTAGTTCTTTTTTGAAGAATTCTAGTTACACAGCTCAAATGGAAGAAGGTGGGGAAGGGAATGTTTTTGTATCTGTTAACCTCTAGTTTTAAACCAAATTAAAACAAACCAGTACCCAGGAATTACAGACAAGCATGGAGCCAGGAAACAGGAACACAAAATGAAGAGAGATTCAACTTACAATTAAGTCCTGAATAAGTGGAACAGAAAGCATCCTCTTGACACCATTTTCCACAATTACTCCAAGCCAATTAAGTACTCCCCAGTACCACAGATAGCTCTGTCCTCCATGCCAATAGCTTACAAAGGCAAAAGTGAGGGCAGTGGAAAAGAGCATTCCTGGCAGACTGGACTGAGATCCTCCCATAGGAACATAAATGTATCTGTAAGCGAAGAGACAGATAAGCAGCATTATTATAGCTTTCATAGAACTCTCAAAAAAAAAAACAAAAAAAAAAACAACCTATAAAATAATTTCGTTATTTTATGATTTAATAAAAAACAAACTTAACTAACTGATATTCTCTATTTACAGCACCTGCCCCAGGTTCTGCAAAGTTGTAGACCACTTCAAGGACTATGCACCCATACTGTTTGGCACAAATATGATTTTGCAGACAAGAGAATTCTGTATTAGGCAAACGTATATGATAAATTATGCTCTCAAAGTTGTGAACGATGCATTCAGCCTTTTAAAACTTCAATAGTTGTAAGGCAACTTGCATGAACAAAAATTATATGTAATCTTGGGAATTTAAATTATAACCCTCTTCACAATAAAATTTAAAACATTCTCTGAAGTCATACATAGACATAACTAATATAATGTTTTACATTTATCAGAAATACAGAAACAAGCAAAGATGTATTTTTTATTTTTAGAAGTGTTCAATTTCTTTATTTTTTAATCTTTTATTAAAAATTATATTAGCTGCAAATATCTCTTATCCAGTCCTTGTGTTACCCTCTCAGGTTCACTTTTGCCCAATGACCTCTGCAGCATATGTACCATCCTCCTGCTCCAAAAAATACTTGTACAAAAAGTACAGCATGCATTTATGCAACTGGATTGAAACTGACTCCAGGAGTCAGAACCTCAGTCTTTAATTAATGCTTAGAAGTGTCAGGAAAGCTGTACTTGTTCAACTGGAACGCTAGGAGCAATGGGATTCCAAAAATTGATGCTGATTTCTGGGTCATTTCACTTCCAACCTGCCCAGAGGGCCACATCCACTTCTGCCAGTTAGAAAATAAGGCATGGTCACTGCTGAGCCTTTATTTGTAAAAGTTAAGTATTTCTGTCAACACTTTGAAGAAGTTCATCTGGCAATAGGGTTACAGCTCTGCTCATGAACAGCAGTGAGAAGCCACTGTGTGAGAAGTGCCCATGACATTCCTTCCAGCTGTCACTCCTTTGGCATAGTGCACCCTAGTCATGTGTGAAACTATTTCTATTTGGTAAGATAATTAAAGGAATTCTTTTTCCACTGACATTTTTAGTTTTCAATTTCTACATTCAGAAATAGATACTAGGCTCAGAGAATGTACAGGAAAATTAATGTAGTACTTTATTTTTAACCTTTGAAAGTAAATTACAGTATCAGGGTAAAATAAAGTAATGAGAGTAATTAAGATGTAAATGGAAAAGTCATTAAAAAAAAAAAAAAACAACACTTTCAAGTGCTCCAAATTCTCTCTAAGCATCATATCAATACATTTTGTTCCCTCCACCTGCTACAAAGAACATCTGATTACATTTATAATGATTTTCAGTGTGTGATTTTTTTTTTTTTTATCAAGCATACAAAAATAAATAGAAATTGAAGTCAATAGTTCTTATATTGTATTTTTCTTCTCTCCCCCTTCCTATTCTTTTCTAGCCTTCTCACATCATGCAGATAAAAAACACAGGTGGCAACAGTGCATCCTTGCAGCTGCCATCAGTGGGTCTGAGAGCAGAGGCATGCCATAATAGCCTGTAAGCAAACAGGCCCCTGCATCCAGAGAATGAGGCCTGACTCTGAGATCAAATTAAACCGATACACAAACATGACACTTGCATGCAATATCTTCTTTTCCAATGCATCTATCCTGTTCTTAAAGAGAAGATGGTGTTTGCAGTAGAGTCAGTGGCTCTGCTCTCCTTTCACTGGTAGCCAGACAAATCCCTCCTACACTACGCTACAGAGATGTAAGACTAAGTTACCTCACCTACTTATGACCTACTTTTGCAAAGCCTTTCCTCCCTCTTTCAAAGGTAATGCTGGCTACAATGACCAGCTCCCTTTGCAGGCTGTGTTCCTCAAAGCCAAGGAATTGTGATCTTTCGAGGAGCCTGGTCTACTCTCTGCTGTCACAGGAGCCAAAACTGCTGCATCCTCACCAAAGTTGATCCACGGTTGTATATTTACTGACAAACACCACTTTAAGCAATCCAGATGCCACCAGAGAGGAATCTTACCTTTCTGTACACCCTAAGGAGATCTTTCTACTGGCCTGAGAGGGTACAGAGTTAAATCCAGAACACAAAAAATGGCTTTTACTGCAGAAGTGCTCTGGGTTTGTGTATCAGATTTTTCCATGCACTGAAAGACTGGAGCTGTGGTACAGGTAGTGGCAATTTTGTGAGTACACACAGCTTCTGCTGTCACTGGGATTGGCATGCCCAGGAATAGACACAGGCAACAAGTCAGCTTTTTCACTTGCAATCGTTAGGTCAGTTTAAGTTGCTTTGAATGGCTTACAGAGCACTGTGCAGAGGAAAATAAGCTGTTTTCAGATTTTTAGTGTTTAACAACAGCAGTTAGTTAATTGAGCAGCACTAATTCAAATCTTGGTGAATCTTCAAGTTCAGTGGAGTTTTAATTCCCAACAAGGCCCATGGCATTTGTGCAATTGAAAATTTGCTTGTGCTATCCTTGTAAAGAACTATTTGCAGAAGCACAGAAGCCGAACAGAGCCATGAAATCTTTGTTGACATTTTGACCTTTCTGTCTGCTGCATTGGGGATTTGGCCACTTTGCCTGGTGGAAAAATGCAAAGCAGAAAACAAAGCCTCTCTCCCTTCCCTCCAGCTACCAGAAGAAAACAGAACACAGACTGGCTGCCACTTCTTGTCACAAGGCCACCAACTGCCTTCAGACTGCATGGCCATGTCTTCGCTTGGGTGGGCACCCACTGGCAATTTTCAAGTAGGTATAAGAGGCTGGTGGATGTTGAGTCATTTTTCCCAAGCAGTATGAAAAGCAATTTTGTATGTCCTTACATTATTTACAAAGAAAAAAAAATGTGCAAAATCCATGACTACATTACAGAACCAGCTTGGGTTTGACGTCAGAAAAATTATGTGGGCCACCTCATCACACACAGCTCATACCCATGTTGTGTACCTCCATTCACAGTCTTGGGTGGACAGGCCTGGGTACAAGCAAGAAGGCAACTCAGGCAGTGTGCAGCCAGAGCTAGATCCTGGTCCCTTGCCAACAGCCCCTTTGTGCTCCCTTCTATAACCAAAATTATCTTACCACCATAAGGGCCCTTTGTGTTACAAAAATGCATTTTTCGTATTTTTTAGCATCATGGCACATTAGAGTCTAATTTCTCAATACTTTCTCTATGAATTTACACAGAAGAGTACTCATTTGAGTAGAGAAAGCTATATTTACGCTAAAGAAAAGTGAAATGCAAGGGAGAATAAACCAGTGAATAGTATTATTAAGCCAGAAGATAGAAGAAACATATTATCATTTATAACATAGTACATGCTTTGTAAATAACAATTATGTCTCCAACTACTTGCACAAGAAAAAATTGTTTAGAAGACACATTTTCTGCCATGTCTTCAAGCTAAGACATTTCCTGGAATGAATGAAACATCCAAGAATATACAAGAAGCCTTCTCTAAGAATGGAGTCAGCTGAGGATACTTTTGTTACACAAGCATGACACTGATATGCAATACCCTTTTTTCTAGCATGTCTATCCCTTCCTCCTCAGAGACAATGTGAAGACTTCATGTTCACTGTGGCACCAGAATGCCCAATAAGTGGAGACAGCTGAGATTTGAACAAGAAGTAATCATATGGGAAAGAAAAGGAAGTTCTTACAGCATGTTAGGTAAGCTGTTTGGTTCTCCAGTTCACTACCAAAATCCATAATGAGGAAAGAATGTAGAAGAGAAAGAGAGAGAGAGAGATTGAGAGAGAGAGAGAGAGGCATGGCTATTATAATTTCACATCCTATATGTCCTAGATATACAAGCTTTCCAGATTTTTCTTTGCTATCATTATCACTGTGTATCTTCAGAGTATCCTGCGGTTTTTCTATACTGTGATTTGAAACTAGAAGTTTGCACATACAAAGAGGTTATTGTAGAGCATGCTCATCTGCTCTGCCACATGAAACATTACATAAATATCTCATTTTAAGCTTTCATGCAGTTTTTAAGACTATTTCCATCTCTAATCACAGAAAATCCACAGAGAAGCTCAAAACCCACACGTCAGGGACTACTAGCATGTAAAAGTAATAACAGATCTTCATGTCAGACTAACACAATTCAAAGGAACACCCTTGCAGCAGAATTTCTTAACAGCTTAGAAGCAAAGTACACATTTACTGCAGATGTGCAAGGAAGGCAGACTTATCTGAAAAATGCGGTGCCAATGTGCAACAACTCTAACTTAATTCACATGCACACACAGAAAGAAAACTGAACAGTTATTTGGTAGTCAGTGAGCCAAAGAAAAACAAATGAAGGAAAGTACTGAAATATTTTCCAAAGAGAAAAGAACATTAAAGCGAATGGATTTGAGAATGGTAACTGCTGGTGTCCTTCCAGGTTATTTTACATGGACAGTTAACTGTTCCCTTCTTAAGATCCACGAAAATTGCAAATAGGAAAATATTTAGTACAAAAAAAAAAAAAAAAAAAAAAAAGCAGGTTTGGTAAGTATTTAAAAATAGAACATCATCTTATGGGATCAAAAGTCATTCCCTGCCAAACCTTCAAAAGTAAATTTTGTCAACCCTATGGCACATTTCTTAGAGTATCATTTCAACTGTTAGCTTCCAGGTCATCTGCCTGTTGCTGTGTGTGTGTGGGCTGAGGTGGATGGACACAGGAACTCTAAGCTTGCCAGCAGATGGCTTCTCTGGCCCTGTGCCTGGCCTAGGCACTTCCTTGGCAACAGTGCATTCACTAAACAGCCAGTTCAGTGAGATCGGACAGACCAGATCTACCTGTGTTCTATGATGAGCCCAGATGCTTCCTGCTGAAAGGACTGAAGAGGTGTCAACACAGGCTGTTGAGCAGGAATTCATGGACACCACAGGCCAGGCTCTCCCAGGCTGGCTAGGTGTGCCCTAATGACACAAGGGAAGG